GGAGGACTCAAGTGGAAAATGGAGCTGCCAGCTGATGGGAAGAGAGGGCATGTGCACAAGAACACCCACACAGGCAGATGGTACCCACGTGACCTGGACCGGATGACTGGATGATCAGAGCTCAACCAGGAGAAGAAAGAAGAGGGGAAAAAAAAAAAAAAAAGATTGAGCTGATTCAATCTGATGAGCTTGACCTATACCTACGAATGCAGTGACTCAAAAGAGGCAAGAAACATTCCCACCCCCTCCACACACAGAGTAGACAGAGATGGGCAACTTGGACATTGGATACCCAAATGGGGAGGGAGGGACTACAAAGGCAAGAAGTGACTGGCTTACAAGCTTTCAAGAGGAAACTTAGAACTAGGGGGCATGAATCACCAGTGAGTACAATCCAATCTGTCTAGGTGGAACTGATGAAATGAAATACAGATGGGTTACTCGTGATACTGTAGTGAATAATGGTTATCAAGATGGATTGTGAGGGTTGGAAATGCAAAGATAGACGTTTTGTAGCAAGGAAGGGAGTGATTATTTCTCCAGTCTAGGAGCAGAGGTCTCTGGGACCACCAATGGAGAAGAGCCGAGAGCGGGACCCTAACCAGAGAAGCAGGGACGCCTGAGATGGAGACAGAGAAGATGACATGGAGGGATGAAGCGGCTGGGGACTTTGGATCCAGAGAGGGAGAAGGACTGTGGGCTGAAGACTGGGGGTGGGGAGTGGGGAGGAGGAAGTGAAGAGGACAGGTTTCTAGGATATGCCCTTTGGTAGGAAGATGATGCATGGAGGGGATTGAAACCATGGCAATGAAATGATATACGATGGAATGAATGTAAAACTAAAGTTCTCTCATGTAAACTATCATATAATTCACAAGAAAACATTGAAACAAAAACAAAAACGGGTGAGAGACTAGAGTATGTGCTGTTGTTGCTGTTAAGTGCTGTTTAGTTGGTTCTGTCAAATAGTGACCCTGTATAGGGTTTCCAAGACATGACTGGTGGGTATGAACCACCAACCTTGAGGTTAGCTGTGTGTGCAGAGCAATGGAATTCATTTTCATGGAAGCTCACAGCAAGTTCAAAGGCACTGAGGCTGCAGAGGGCTGGTGCTTTGGAGAAGCAGCTAGAACATCAGTGTTACTGGATGACAAGAGCCAGAAAGAGAGTGGTGGGGAGATGAGGTGGTAAAGGTCTGGGGGTAGTGAAGAACCTGACCATGAATGGCCTTGCAGGTGAGTCTACTAGAACTTCTAGTCACAAGGAACCTGACAACTTGGATGTCAGAGGAGAACAACTTGGAAGGATGGGAACCTCCTGAGACTGAGAAGTTCTGCATTCTTTTTTACATCCTCGACCCTTTTGCAGTTTTGCAGTCCTCTGTGAAAGCCGGATGCAGGCCAAGTGAACTTTAGCTGAAGGTGGAGTCCTAAGGAACTTTTCAGAGGCTTGTAACTGCACGGAAGCCTGTCCAGGCCTACCGAGATGTGCTGACTGCAGTATCCCTCTTCTTCCTGGGCCCCACACTTCACTGGATCTTCTACTTTAGAGTCCCTTCTTTAAAATTGAATAGTCCTGGTGGCCCCATGGATTAAACAGTCAGGTTGTTAATTGGAGGTTCCTAGCCACTCTATGCTAAAAAGATGTGGCAGTCTGCTTTCGTAACGATTTACAGTCTCGGAAATCTATGTAGCTCGTATATTGCGTCCTGTAGGGTCGCTATGAATCAGACTCCACTGAGTAACAAAGGGTTTGTTTCTTTTGGGTTCCTTGAAATTGTCTAAGCCCCTCTCCAGTGCCAGGGATCTGACAATGCCGTCTAGGAGGGGCACTTGGAGTGGGAACTAGAACCCCCGTGCGCCTCGTGTCCTATTGTTTCGTTTGGGCAGTTTCTGGTCCTTTACACACCGCGCGTGTAGTGGACAAGGAGCTCGGGGACTCGCGCCTTTGCGATGGTCCCTGAGGGTGAGCTTGAACCTTGGGATTCAAACCGACTTTGCAGTCTAATGTGTAGAGGAGCTCAATTCCAGGAGCGCGGTGTGAAATCACTGAGCGAGGTTGGAGCCGCCAGAAGGATGCTGACACGCTGATTAGGGGCGATTCAAAAGCTTTCCCTAGGACCCCCGAGCACTCTGGGGCTTTCCGGCCACCCCTGAGTTGACACGGACTGATGGCAGTATCTCCTTGCAGGCTCCTAGTAAAGACAAAGCGCCCGCCAGAGGCGCACAGTGGACGCGTGTTCTTCTCAAGGGGCGACCCTGGCGCGGGGGACCCAAAGGGAACTCCAGAAGAGTCTCACACTCTGGAAGCCGAGGGGTCTGGGCTGCCGTCTCTGTGAGGGGCTTGAGGTGGCCTCGAGGGGTGGGGGTGAGGGGGTGGAAGAAGAGGACAGGCGCGCGTCCAGCCTCAGCTCCCGGCCCCAGTCCGGCCGGCTTGGGTATCAGTTCCCGGCTTCTTTCTACCGTTATGTAACCCCAGAACGTGGCAGCTTGGCGAGCGAAGGGGAGGGGAGAGTTAGGGAGGGAAAAGAAGGAGGAGGGGCAGAGGTGGGGGGTGGGAAGCACCGCCTCTAGCAGGATGGTCCTTCAGGACGTTTCCAGGATGGCCAACTTTTTCCCACCCCCACCCTTTTCCTCGCCTCAGTTTCCCCTCATACTCTCCCATTGATCATACCAACTCGGGTTGGATTGCTCTCTAGGGTTGTAATTGCCTTCAAAAGTTCTCTCTTTTGCTGCCTTGACCAAGTTAGCTACCGCCTCGGAACTTCAGTTTGCCAGTTTGTGAAGTAAGGTTTAATTAAGGAGCCAAGGACAAAGCGCCTAGCATCGTGTATGGTACAAAGTAGGTGCCCATTATGGGACCGTAGAGTAAGTGACATAGAGTGTGGCAAGGGGTTTTGTCGGACTAACGAGCTGTGATGTCTGGAAAGGGAAGGGCTGGGTGAGTGGGTGCAGGGACCCTTGAGCGGCCCGGCCACGCCTCTCCCCGTCGGTAGTTCCCTCCTCGAAACTCCCCTCTCTCTCTACTGGGGTCCTCCCCTCCGCGGCTAGTCGCCAGGGCTGTGGGCGGGCCAGAGACTGCCTGGGGGCGTGCGGCAGGAAGGGGCGGGGGGCGTCTCAGTACCGCGCAGGAAGATAACTGCCCATCGACCGCCGCACCCGCGTAGACCACCTCTCCACCCGCGCGATGTGGGGGCTCCTGTTCGCCCTGGCAGCATGCGCCCCTCTTGTCGGCACGGGTCTGGGGGCACCCAGCGACGCAGTTTTGAATCTTGCGCCGCCTGCGACCACCGAGGCCTCGATCTCAACCTCGACCCCACGAAGCAGCCCGGCGCAGTCACTCATGAAGAACGTGAACGGTGAGTTCCCCAACCAAGAACCGGTTCTTTGACAAGTTGGTTCTCTCCTGTCCCCACCACCTCTGGTGTGATGATTCCTCCCTCCCCCCCCTTTCACCCACTCACTCACCCCGCCCCCTCTCCATCGGTGCTCCCTCCCCTCCCAAGAGCTATGGCTGCTGATTCAGCAGCCCCTGATTCCTTCTCCACGGAGTCAGCATTCCAAAGATGGGCTCCAGTGAGATTTGGCCTCTTCCCACGCTACCAGTACTAGTTGCCTGCCGTCCAGTAGATTTTAACTCTTAGCGACTCACGTGTGTTAAAGTTGAGTGTGTTCCACAGGGTTTCCAGTGGCTGATTTTTCAGAAGTAGATCACCAGTTCTAGTCCACCCAGGTGCCTCTGGGTGGACTAGAACCTCTAACCTTTCCACTACTAGCTGAGGGTGTTAAACATTTGCACTACCCAGGGACACCTTCTAGCCCAAAGGCTTCCCATTTCATGGATTAAGGAAAGAGGCTGGCAAGTGGGAAGAGGGGAAGGAAGAAGGGCAGACTAAGGTGTCAAGACTAAGAAGTGCAAAGAAAACTAGGTAGGAGAGAGCTAGAAGACTAGAGCTAGTGTGAGAGAAAGGGAGAGGCTCTTTGCAGAAGCTGCTGGAAGGAATGGGGCATTGTCTGGAATTGGTGGGGAGGGGAGTGGGAGAGGGACAGGCTACCTGGCTTATACTTTTCAAATGTGGGAACATAGAGGAGAAAGACAAGGAATAGCAGTCAAGGACAGTTTCTCAGAGGATGCAAGTGGAACTGAGTTCTGAAGCTTGAGTCTCTGAGTCAGGAAGACTGAAGTGAGAGGACTGCCAAAGAGGAGAAAATAGTGTGTGCAAAGGTACAGGGGCACCAGGTGGGAAAAGGCAACATGTCCCAGAAGCAGCTGTGGATTGTGGGTGGGTAGGAGCTGGTGGTAACTGCATTGTACCAGGAGGCCCTGTGCTGAAGGGTGAGCAGGACACAGGCCCCGCTAAGGATAGACTGAGAGTCCAGATAGACGTGGCTTTGATGACAGGACATCTCAGCCCAGAGATGAGACATAACTGGAACTATGTGAGGTGTGAAACCCGGTCTGGAACTAGGGTAGACTCCTTGGAGGTCATCTGAATTGAGGTATGACGGAAGAGTAGAATTAGAGTTGGATGGTATTACAGGCGAGGGAATTGCAATGCAAAGACGTGGAGGTAAAGAACCAAACTCGACTCATTAGAACAATCGAACAGTTCCTAGTGGTTAGGTGTGGTTCTCTATTGGAGAGGCTCAGAGGTGAGGCTGGCAGGAACCAAGGAAATGCCTGGAAAGGCTGCTTGGGGCAGATGGTAGGTCTTGAATGCCATGGTAAGGCCCATAGGTACTTATGGTGGGCCAGCTGTGGCTTGTATGTCTTCTTGAACTAACAGAGCTCTCCATCTGAAGTCTCATAGCCTTTCCTCCTTCCCCATGTGGTGCCTCCCTGGCTCCCAGGAACCACACGACAGCGTGTCCGGATGCGTGTCATAAAGAAGAAAAAGATCATCACGAGGAAGCGTAAGAAGATAACTAGCCCTATGCCTCCAGTGACCACCAATCCTGCAAGGATCCTTAACTTCCCGAAGGAGCCAAAACCAGGTACCACCCCTCCAGTGGTCCAGCCCTGACTTACAGCACCTGGAGCTCACACACACCGATGAAGCTCTCTGCCTCATGGGTATAGGCATGCTGAAGTCTACTTAGCAGCCAGGCAAGTTTAGGTTTAGCTTCCCACCTGCCTGACCACTCGCTCTCTGTTTTTTTTGTCTGCCCCCAGACTGTCCCCCTTTGGGCCTGGAGTCCTTGCGAGTTTCAGATAGCCAACTTGAGGCATCTAGCAGCCAGTCCTTTGGTCTTGGACCACACCGAGGACGACTCAACCTCCAGGTCAGCAACCAGGACCCAGCCCAAGTCTTGGGCAGGCAAGGGGACCCCTGAGGTCTGCTCCCCTGCCCTGGCCTGCCCTGCCATGCCTACTGTGGTCCTGATACCCCTGTCCTATGCCCTCAGTCAGGCCTGGAAGATGGTGATCTGTATGATGGGGCCTGGTGTGCTGAGCAGCAAGATGCTGAACCGTGGCTTCAGGTGGATGCTGGGCACCCCACTCGCTTCTCAGGTGTCATCACACAGGGCAGGAACTCTATTTGGAGGTGAGGCAGGCTGACCCCAGGCCAGGAAGTCATGGCAGGCACAGGTGGGCTGGGTGGAAGGCCTGGGAGACACTGGTGATCTCTCCCCATCTCTTTGTCAGGTATGACTGGGTCACATCATACAAGGTCCAGTTCAGCAACGATAGTCGGAGCTGGTGGGGGAGCAGGAACCACAGCAGTGGGATGGACGCAGTGAGTGGGCCCCTAGTGGCTACTTTCTATGCTGGGAGTTGAGCACCTAGTCCTCTCTAGAGGCCTGGACTGGGTCTCTCTGGGAACAAAGAGCAGATACTTCTTTGGACATTCCAGTAGAAAGGGGGCTGCTGTCAGGATGAGTGGCACCCAGCGGGCCCAAATGCTTCCCAGATTCTTCCACCTTCAGGTAGGTGTAGCTTTGTGCTGCAGGTTCCTGCTGAAGCATCCCTTCTAGCAATAGGCTTCTCATCTTTATATCACTTTTAGACCTTTTCATGGCCCTGTCTTTCCCACCTTATAAATTCCTTCTTAGCACCAGGCTATGGTGTGCAGTCCTCACCAGCTTTAGAATTGGCTACTCTGGAGTCACATGGTCATATTGGCCTAATCAAACCAAGCCATAAAACATGGCTGCCTGGGACTGCCCATTAGAGGGGCTGTGGGCAGGGGTCTCTGTTTAACTCAAAGTGCACGTCTGACCCACTAGGGTAGGTTGCATGGTGAGCTTAGAGGCTTGAGTTCTTGCCCTACATTCTAGACCAGATGACTAGGCAACCCCGACAAAGAACTTTATGCCCACAGATATTTCCAGCCAATTGGGACCAAGAGACCCCAGTGCTGAACCTCCTGCCAGATCCCCAGGTGGCCCGTTACATTCGCCTGCTGCCCCAGACCTGGCTCAAGGAAGGCACATCTTGCCTCCGGGCAGAGATCTTGGCGTGCCCAGTCTCAGGTGGGCAGTTGGGCAAGGCCTGGATGGGCAGTACCCAAACACAGGGTGCACCCTCTTTGTGACTCTTTACCATGAACTCTTCCTCCACAGATCCTAATAGCCTCTTCCCTGAGGCCTCTGCAATGGCATCCTCTGACCCTCTGGATTTTCGGCATCATGATTATAAGGCCATGAGGAAGGTTAGTTATCACCCCTGTGGCCCAGGAGGAAGGGTCTGCCTAGTTCAGGCCCCATGCCCACTAGGGCACACGCTGCTGTGACTGACCTCACGGCCCCTACCCTTCCTTCTGCTGATTCCTAAGCTCCACTTCCATCTCGCTTGTGATGGTGTCTCCCCTGTCTGACCCTTTCTTCTGGGTCTGCTGCTGCTGCTGTTCCCTGCCTGTGCTGCGCCATGATGCCCCACCCCCATCTGTGTGGGCTCCCTGTTGACTTTTACAAGTCCCTCATGGCCACCCATGGTCTGAGCCCTGGGCCTAATCCTGTCATGCTACATGTCATCCTACACTCTGGCTCCCAGCTGATGAAGCAGGTGAACGAGCAGTGCCCCAATATCACCCGCATCTACAACATTGGCAAGAGCCACCAGGGCCTGAAGCTGTATGTGATGGAAATGTCGGACCACCCCGGGGAGCATGAGCTGGGTACTGCCAGGTGGGGTAGGGAGAGGTAGGCATGGACAGGGTTCTGGGTGTGAGCTGGTTATAAGCCCTTGTTGTGTTCTCAGGTGAGCCTGAGGTGCGCTATGTGGCAGGCATGCATGGGAACGAGGTCCTGGGGAGAGAATTGCTTTTGCTGCTGATGCAGTTCTTGTGCCGTGAGTACCTGCGAGGGGACCCACGGGTGACCCGGCTGCTCACAGAGATGCGCCTTCATCTTCTGCCTTCCATGAACCCTGATGGCCATGAGATCGCCTACCGCCGGGTAGGCCACATGATATGAGAGGCACCTTGCCCCTTCTGCCCGGGTGCCCAGAACAGACCTGGATTAACAAGCTCCTTCTCTGGCAGGGCTCAGAGCTAGTGGGCTGGGCAGAGGGCCGCTGGAACTACCAGGGCATTGACCTTAACCACAATTTTGCTGACCTCAATACACCTCTGTGGACTGCGGAGGATGATGGATTGGTACCCCACACTGTCTCCAACCATCACCTGCCAATGCCTACTTACTACACCCTGCCCAATGCCACTGTGAGTATTCTGGGGCAGTGCTAGAGGGTCACTTGGAGGGGGCCTAGTCCCTGCATCCTGATCTGTCTTTGTCCAGGTGGCCCCTGAAACATGGGCAGTGATTGAGTGGATGCAGCGGATCCCCTTTGTGCTGAGTGCCAACCTCCATGGTGGTGAGCTCGTGGTGTCTTACCCATTTGACATGACTCGGACTCCCTGGGCTGCCCGTGAACTCACTCCCACTGCTGATGATGCTGTGTTTCGCTGGCTCAGCACCGTCTATGCTGGCACGAATCGGGCCATGCAGGAGCCGGACCGCCGCCCATGCCACAACCAAGACTTCTCCTTGAATGGCAATGTCATCAACGGGGCTGACTGGCACACTGTCCCTGGGAGTATGTGTCTGTGGGTGGAGGTAGACCCATTTTCATAGCCCTTGTCCCGATAAGACAGCCTGCTGTTAACACTGCTGAAGTCAGTTCCAACCCTGAAAGTTCTCCCAGAAGAGGGTACCAAGAGGGTGGGACTACCGTCCTGTCCCCTTAGGCCCCATTGTCTGTGGTATCTCTAGGCATGAATGACTTCAGCTACCTCTATACCAACTGCTTTGAGGTCACTGTAGAACTATCCTGTGACAAGTTCCCACATGAAAGTGAGCTGGCCCAGGAATGGGAGAACAACAAAGATGCTCTGCTCACCTACCTGGAACAGGTTAGCTCTGAGTCCCCTGGTCCCAGCCTTCCCCAGTCTGCCTGAGTCACTCCACTGAGCCACTCCACTTCAAGACACAGCTTCCACTAGAAGGTTTGCTAATGCCCAGGTAAGAATTCAGCCTCATAAGAAACCATAAACCATATGTGGCATCCGTTTGATAAAAGGATACAGGAGGATAAGAGCCCCAGTTTGCCAGCAGAACAAGGTCAGATTTGTTTATCCAGTGTGTGAAATACCCATAGCAGACTCCGCAGGGTCCCTAGAGCCATCCAGGGCTCACATTTAGGTGCAGGCGCACGGCCATATACAGCTCTAGTGATGATTCCATAGTTACCATTCCAAGGTTTGGACAAAAGATAAGCCAAATGACAAGAATTACTGAACTTGAGGTAGCCAAAAATACGCCTTTCTACCAGGTATTTATAGGCATCATGGTGGAAAAGTGGTTACATGCTCAACTGATAACCAGAAAGAAGGTCAGCGGTTCAAACACACCAGCTGCTCCATGGAAGAAAGATATGGCCGTCTGCTTCCCTAAAGATTAACCCCAAAACAAAACTGCTATCTAGTCAGTTCTGACTCATAACCATAAACAGAGCTGCTCTGTAGGGTTGACAAGACTATAAATCTTTAGGGGAGCAGACACCCTCATCTTTTAGTTATGGTTAGTAGCTGAATGTTTAACTCACTATACCACCGGTTCTCCTTTCTGTAATAATTACAACCTTGGAAACCCTGTGGGGCAATGCTACTGTCCTAAGGGGTCACTATGAGTTCGAATTGACGCTCAGTCAATGGAATCAGGTATTGATAGTTCTCCCCAGCCAGATGCAATTTATCAATTAATAAGTATTTTTACCAGAAGTGTTGTCACCTGGGGACAGAGTAGACTTACCACTTTTATCAGGTTTTCAGAGAAACAAACCTGGAGAGTTAACTGAAGGTCACTGTCTCATGCAGAAGAGAAAGGGTTTTGATAAACCTTTTCCCGCACAGGTGCGCATGGGCATTACGGGAGTTGTGCGGGACAAGGACACAGAGCTTGGGATCGCTGATGCTGTCATTGCCGTGGAAGGGATTAACCATGATGTAACAACAGGTGGGTGGTGTGGGGTGGGGGAGAAGGTGGGTTGCTGGTGGTCTTTAGGCTGCAGCAGGCAAGAGCTGAGCATCACTGAGCTCTGATCTTGTCCTTCACTCTCCTCAGCATGGGGCGGGGATTACTGGAGGCTGCTGACTCCAGGGGACTATGAGGTGACCGCCAGTGCCGAGGGCTACCATTCAGTGACACGGAACTGTCGAGTTACCTTTGAAGAGGGGCCTGTCCCCTGCAATTTCCGCCTCACCAAGACACCCAAACAGAGACTGCGAGAGCTGCTGGCAGCAGGGGCCAAGGTGCCCCCCGACCTTCGGAGGCGACTGGAGCAGTTGAGGAAACAGAGGAATTAGAACAGAAGAATTCTCTGGCTAGAAGCCCTAAAGCCTTGGGCAGGCTGGACCTGTCCAGAACTAAGGGAGAGGGTAGAGAATGGGGAGGGAGGGTTAAAGGGTAGGGGAGAGGGGGTCAAGCTCATTAAAGCTACCTGGCACCTCAGCCTAGAGTCTCTATGTCCCAGGTCCTCCCCTGGGACAGGCCTCCCTCCAGTTACCCCTCATCTCCTACTCTGCACCCTGACCAGTTGACTCCTCGAGACATGGTGTGGAAAGAGAATCCCACTTGGAGTCCTCTTGGACCTAGGGCTTGGCAGAGCAACCCATATCTGTTCATCAGCTTCTGCTGCAGGTGCCATTATGATGCTGGTAAACATCTGGCAGCATCTGTTCAGTGCCAAGCATTCAAGGAGTTCAGGATAAACAGTGCCTACATCCAGACTCTTGGGGCTCCCAGTCAAGAGAGAGGACAATTCAGTATAGTGAGAGGGGCGCTAGATGCTCTGTGAGCACAGATAGTGAGTCACATCTGTGCACATTACAGTATCCAGATCAACAGGGACTCATAGGCCAGCATGCAATAGAGATGGTGGTTCTGGCTCCGATGGGAGTGAGCCAGGAACAGCCCCAAGGAGAGAACCAAAGGTAGGACAGTAAAGAGCATTTGAATTTGCTTCATCAGTTCTCAGTGTTGACAAAGTGATTGGAGTTCATTCCTTTCAGAGCTCACAGGTGTCTGTCTTGCCAGGAAAACAGGTATTTCAAGAGAAGAGAGAAATTGGATGCTATAAGTTGGATATAAAGATGGTGGAAGAGCTGGATGAGAGAAAGGGAAAAGGGAAGTTTGCTCAGAAATCAGGAGGCTGATATCACCCTTGGCCTGGACTTTTGCAAGCCCGTATTTGCTGATATTGGTGTTGGAGTTCACATTCACCTGTGATCAGTTGTGGGCACCTGCCCTGGCTCGAGCCAGAAGAGTAGCTTCTCCCTTTCTGGTCTCCAACCTGCAGTGTCCTCTGGGAAAAGCTAAGTAACCTAGCTGGCAAGGAAAATATAGTTTCCAGACTTCCAGCCCTCTACAATTCGGAGGAGCACAGAATAGCAGGAAATGAGACAAATAACTACTCACAGGCATCCCCTTATGTGAGCTTTGCCTAGTACCTGTTACATTCTTTTTCCTGAGGTGTCTATCTCTGCCTCTTATGTCTTTAATCTCAGTTTACCTTCATGAGGAATTGGATGCCACAGGCTTTTTCTGTATCTTTTCTCCCCACTTGCAACTTTTCTTCTATGGCATCACTTTATTATTATTTTTTAATGAAATTTAATATGCACGGTGAAAAGTTCAGCTCTCTACACAGCTGGATCAATTTATGCAGACCAAACACACCCGGCAGCCACAATCAAGGTTAAGAAACAAACAAATGAAAACACTCCAGCACTCCAGAGTCTCCCTGATGTGTTCATATCTAGTAATATCCCATACAGGGTAATCGTAATCCTGACTTTTGACACCCTAGTTTATCCTGGCTTGCTTTTTTGCTGGGATTCCCATTACATTCCTGGGTTTAGTCTATGATTTCCTGATTCCATTTTTATTTTACTGGATGTGGCCTGGTAGGATAAGCACTGGACTGCTAACCACAAGTTAGCAGTTCAAACCCATGAGCAGCTCCTTGGAAACCCTGTACAGGTTAACTATGAGTTGAAACCATTTGATGGCACTAACAACAACAAAATGTTTAGTTGCAGACAATATAGTCCACTCTAGTTAGCTAATGGGAAAAGAGTATTCTGAAGTTTATAAATCTCCGGGAGGGCTATAAGCCAGGTTTGGATGATACATAATTAGAAACAACATAATCTAGAGCAATAGGGACTCATAATCAATAGAGCCAATGGCAATAAGATGAGAGAAATGTCCAACCATGTCATGGGACTATTCTAGAGTCATTGCTTTCTATATTACAGCTAAGATGCTAGGAACTAGGCCAAAACTTCCATATTGCACCAGAAAAAGATATATTTCCCATTATCTTGATTACCAGAAACTAATCTCCCTGCCTGTGACTGCCACTGCTTTTTGCCCTCCAAGTCTAGGACTAGTAACATTGTGCAGAACCTAAATGATACCAGGAATTTTGGTGGTGTAAATGCCTAATGAGATCATCTACTAATTGAAAGGCACCTAGAGGTGCCTTGGAAGAAAAACTTGAATAGCTACTTCAGAAAGATCAGTCATTAAAAACTCTATGGAGTACAATGCTATGCTGGCACCCATGGGGACTCCATGAGTTGAAACTGACTCTATGGCAACTGGCTTTAAAGTTACATGAGGAATCATAGATAAAAGAAGTCTGAAATATTTAGTGTTTAGCTTTCCAGCCTCTAAAATACAGGAAGTAAAGCCAAAGGGAAGTTGAAATGGGTGTTAAGTGAGCTAATATATAGTATCTGAAATATGAGTGTATTTGTTTCCTGGTATGGCACTTAAGGATAAGCACTGGACTGCAAAGTTGACAGCACTTAATAACACCATGAGTAGGATCTACCACACCTCTGTCAATTTGTCATACTCTGGTGGCTTGTGTGTTACTGTGATGCTGGAAGCTATGCCACCAGCAGGGCCACCCATGGTAGACAGGTTTTAGGGGATCTTCCAGACTAAGACTAGGAAGAGGGAGAGGTGGATCACTTCTGAGTGGTTAGCCACTGAAAACCTTAGGAAAAGCAGTAGAACATTGACATAGTGTTAGTCGATGAGCCCCTCAGATTGGAAAACACGCCTAGTAAGACAGGAAGAGGAGCCTCTTCAGTGTAGAAATTGATCTTAATGACATGGATGGAGCAAAGCTTTCAGGACCTTCATTTGCTGATGAGGTATGACTCACAGTGAGAAAGCAGATATAGCTGCAAACAGCCATTAATAATTGGAACATGGAGTATAGAAAGTATGAATTAGGAAAATTGGAAACTATTAAAAACTAAATGGAGCACATAAAGATGGATAGTTAAGGCATTGTTGTTGTTGTTAAGTGCCATCGAGTTGGTACCGACCCATAGTAACCTTATGCACAGAATAATGAAACACTGCTCGATCGTGGGCCAACCTCACCATTGTTGCCACACTTGAGCCCATTGATGCTGCCACTTGGCTAATCCATCTCATTGGGGTCTTCCTCTTTTTCTCTGACCCTCCACCTTACCAAACATGATATCCTTCTCTAGCGACTGGTCACTCCTGACAATATGTACAAAGTATGAGAGATGAAGTTTGGCCATCTTGGCCTCCAAGGAACACTCTGGCTTCACTTCTTCCAAAACGGATCTATTGGTTCTTTGGGCAGCCCATGGCACTTTCAATATTCTCCTCCAATGGTCTTCCTTACTCACTGTCTAGCTTTTGCATGCATATGAGGTTATTGAAAACACCATGGTTTGGGTCAGGTGAACCTTAGTCCTCAAGCTGACATCTTTGCTCTTCAACACTTTAAAAAGGTCTTTTGCAAGCAGATTTGCCTAATGCAATATGTCGTTTGATTTCTTGACTACCGCTTCCATGAGTGTTGATAGTTGATCCAAGAAGAATGAAGTCCTTGACAACTTCAATCCTTTCTCTGTTGATAAGAATGTTGTTTATTGGTCCAGTGGTGAGGCTTTTTTTTTCTTCTTTACATTGAGATGTAATCCAATGTAAAGAATGTGCTCTTTGATCTTCATCAGTAAATGTTTTAAGTCTTCTTCACTTTCAGCAAGCAAGGTTGTATCATCTGCATATTGCAGGTTGTTAATGAGTCTTCCTCCAATCCTGATGTCACGTTTTTCTTCATACAACCCAGCTTCTCGGATTATTTGCTCAGCATACAGGTTGAATAAGTATGGTGAAAGAATACAACCTTGTCGCACACCTTTTTAATTTTAAACCATTCAGTGTTTCCATGATCTGTTTGAACAACTGCTTCTTGGTCCAGGTACAGATTCCTCATGAGCACAATTAAGTGTTCTGGAATACTTATACTTCATAATGTTACAATGTTGTCCCTAACTTGTCATGATCCACACAATCAAAAGTCTTTGCGTAGTCAATAAAGCACAGGTAAACATCTTTCTGATATTCTCTGCTTTCAGCCAAGATCCATTGGACATCAGCGATGATATCCCTCATTCCACGGCCTCTTCTGAATCTGGCTTGAACCTCTGGAAGTTCTCTGTCAATGTACGATTATAGCTGTTTCTGAATTACCGTTAGCAAAATTTTACTCACACGAGATATCAAAGATATTGTCCTATGATTTCCGTATTCCATTGGGTCACCTCTCTTTGGAATGGGCACAAATATGGATCTCTTCCAATCAGTTGGCCAGATAGTTGTCTTCCAAATTTCTTGGCAGAGATGAGTGAGTGCCTCCTGTGCTATCTCACTTTCTTGAAAGATTTCAGTTTTATTCCATCAATTCTTGGTGCCTTGTTGTTTGCCAATTCCTTGGACTTCCTCCGTCAGTATCATTGGCTCTTGATCACATGCTACCTTTTGAAACGGTTGAACATTAACCATTTCCTCTTGGTATAGTGACCCTGTGTATTCCTTCCATCTTATCTTGATGTTTTCTGCATCATTCAATACTTTGTGCCAATGAATCTTTCAATAACAAAAGTTGAGGCTTGAATTTTTTCTTCAGTTGCCCCGGCTTGAGAAATGCTGAGCGTGTTCTTCCTTTTTGGTTTTCTGATTCCAGATCTTTGCACATTTTGTTGTAATATTTGTCTGTATCTTCTCGAGCTGATCTTTGAGATTTTTTGTTAAGCTCTTGAACCTCTTCATTTCTTCCATTAGCTTTAGCATCTCTATGCTGGAGAGCAAATTTCAGTGTCTCTTCTGACATCCATTTTGACCTGTCCTTTTTTCTTATCTTCTCAATGACTTTTTGCTTTCTTCATGTATGATGTTCTTGATGTCATCCCTTAACTCTTCTGGTCTTCAGTCTTTAGTGTTTAATGTATCAAATCTGT